GTGTAAAGTTGGGCACCACTGGGAGAATTCGGAAATGCAACGGTTGGAACAGCCGCTTCCCTACGACTTTAATAATAAATAACTTGGATTTAGGCCCAACTCAACTAAGGTCAATTGAACATTAACTTAAACTAAAACTGACCTACTGAAAAAGAACAGAGGCTGCATAAGTTGTAGTGGAATAACCTAAACTTGCCACCTGAGGGCGGCACAATATAACAGAAAAGCAATAAATAAATAAAAATCCATACAAAACTAAAACACATTAAACAACTCTTTAACTTAGCATAAATAATAAGTGAATATTAATGTGATAAAATGACTTAAGGTTAACTTAAACAAAATCCCTCCCTCTTTGAGACAGTGGTTTGTTCCCAGCTTCCACCTCCAGCTGATCTGCATTTATAGAACCTCAAAGCAAATAAACCATTCAGACATAGTAACTAAAGTGTGCACCCATTAGAAAATATAGATGTGAATGGAGTAAACTAAATCTGGAACTAAATAGGAATTATAAAACTATACAAACACTTTGTGGTGGAGGTAGAAGGATCCACACCACACGTTCTTTTCAGATTTAAAGCCACACATGGAGTTAAAAGGATCCAAGCTTTCTTGGGAAATACCTGCTCCTGAGTGAAGAATGGAAGAAATCATTTTGGATCCAGATCTTTTTAGCAGAACCTGATCGCTCCCGAATGTTTCTGAAATTCTGTGTAATTCTGTTAAATAGAGGCTTCACTGCACATCCAGTAGACATTGACTCCATCCAGTATTTTCCATTTCTCTCTATATATTATGCTCAAACATTTAAAGGGTGAAATATGCGGTTCTATTGTGGAGGATTGTGGCTTTATTTACCAAATAAACTTCAACTAGTTCATTTATAGGTTTGTGAACTTCATTCATTTTTTTAATAAGTGAACTATGAACGTTAGCTAGCTAGTTTTCGACTGTTTGAACTAGCTTCTTTAACTATGAACTGAACCAACATGGATAACAACCTTGATGTTCTCCTTTAGGTAAGCAAGTTCCTTGAACAGGCCCGCACCCCGGACCTGGACCTCCATCCAGTCAGCTCCTCCCACCCTCACATCTCAGCCTATCACCAAGGTGGGATTTCTACCTGGCTCTCCAGGTGAGCAGGAAGCTTCTGTCTGTTCAATCAAAAGTCTCATTTCGTCTAACAGGGAACAAGCTGGCTTCCAGGAAGAAGCTCCTCCCCATCGTGAAGAACTTCCTGAGGGAGTGCGATGGAGACTGTTGCCTTGGAGACGCCGAGGAGGAGTCTGTGGTCCCCCCCACCCCCATGAACAGTCTGGTTGAGGGCTGTCCTCTTGATGAAGGCCTGCCGAAGATCACTGCTGAAGACCTGCAGGACAAATTCCGCCAAATGGACTCCGCTGACCTCTGACCTTCTTTCTGTCAGTTTCAGGGCATCCCTGGTCTCCTCCCAGCATCTCTGTTGCCGCAGCAGCGTCTAAGGACGGCGATGGAGGGGCAGAACATCGGTACTTCTGACAATAAACCTTTTCAATCCCAGAGATCCAGGTGGAATAAAGCTGGTGCTACAGAACCAGACCAACAGAACTGGGCTTTTCTCAGTGAAATACGGTGTTACAGCAGATTCTCAACAGAGCCAGCGTTAAAGGAGCCCAACTGGATCGTCCCGCAGTCAGTTCAGGATGCGTTTTCTAATTTAGATCAAAAGGACAATCTAAGCAACCAAAGAGTAGCTGAGGTACGTTCTGTTGGAAACCGTTAAAACTAAAGGCTTGATTTCACCTTTTTTTATAACCTTTGTGTTGTTTAGAGAGTTTCCACTCGTTTGTGAGATCCCACCAAGAAAGATAAGAAAACAGTATTATTGAATATGCTCAAGCGATCAAACCTCAACACACCAATCACCTCTGCTTACGTTAACAATTGCATGTCAGTTTTATCCTCAATAAACTGCAAACGTAAAAGTCTGTCTGAACAGTTCCTTC